TAGGTGTTGGACTACCTTTAAAAGTAATAGAACACAATTTAAGTGAGTAGATCAACCCTAATGCTATGTCAATACCTGAATGACATAGATATCATTTGAATGCGTGTTCGTCTTCTCAAGTTTAGGTCTATGATAATTCTGGAAGTACTTAGCTCAGCTCAACTCTAGAGCATATTCGATACTAAGAAGTGGATATTCGTGAGACAAATCAGCCACAGATACCAGAATGACTAAATTGAAATGAAAGGACGTATAATATGTATAGGAAATTCAGAAACGTCTGAATTAATCTGGAAAACTCTGAAGTAACCGAGATAGACTTGACTGCTAGATGAATTAAGTAACCTCAATGACTGAGGATTAAATAAGTGATTTGGATGAGTTTAGAAACGATAATGAACTTACATAATGTACTGTTCTTATGGATTGTGAATTACAAATCAAGCACATCATCATTTCATGATATCGTGGAAGTGTGGAGATTAAATAAAGAATATTGTAAGATCTATTCAATGATGATTCCGAAGATGATTTATGGATAATAATTTTTAGCATTAAAGAATGAATACCCTGGAAGGGTAATGAATTGACCAGTCGATAAGCATCAGTTCTGGGAGTTGTTCAGCTCGAGTTGTTCGATATTCTGATAGATCGACACAAATCGTAAATGTTCTGAATCTTCGTTTCTTCCTTATCAGCTCAATTCATATTCTGAATAACTGATGATTATGTCAGTTAATGAACTCTTTCAATAGTGATTCTAAATTCCAACATTATATCGGCATACTGAAGATCCGTGTTTCTCTATCTGATAAGATTATCCAGTACCTCTGAATAATATTTGTAAACTCTGGTGTGTTCCCTAATCACATTAATATTTTATCTGATTTCTTATTTGAATTCTGTTATGATACTTGACTTGGATTCTGAAATGATACTTGACATGGATTCTGAAATGATACTTGACATGGATTCTGATATGATACTTGACGTGAATTATGTTTTGATTTTTGATATATCCGTTTACAGACGTAACATGTTTTATTTAGGGGGGTAATGTTGGAGGAAGAATACTTGAAGGCTCATCGGTTTTGTGCTCAGGGCCTTACTAGATGTGACGGGATTGTATGGTTCTGGGGAACCTACACATTTTGTTCGTGACGGATGGGGTAGTGTTTATATATATATATATATATGTTTTAAAAGATCTATATCTTTTTACTGGTTTTACGGGAACACACTACATAACCTATTATGATCTCCTGAACTTAGTCATTCAAAATACTTATCTGAACTGAAAGCTCATTGTCTGTTACCCCTGAAATATCAGTAGGATCTCCGCTCAGCATAAAACCTGTAGATGTTCGAAACCAATAAGGAAATATATGTTTATATGTATCTGCATGTTCTTCAGCATCACCTGGTAGTTCTGTATTACTGATCTTTCCAAAGCTCACCCTGTTACTCACCTTTTCAGGTTAAAAGAATCATACAAGTGCATCTATCGACATCAGTAAAGGAGTTCTTCTGGCGTTGCTTGCAGATTATGGTACATGTGATTAGGGGTATGTAATTGTATTTTGTTTTATATACAAGTTTGAAAATATATTTTATCTCAGCATACTGATAAATCATTTTATAAGTTATATGTTTTAAATTTTATGCTATTTTTACAGTGGGTCGCTCTGGTGGCCTTAATGTGACACTCCAGATCGGATTGGGTTACCCGCATCAGTTTGAGAGGGTTACAATTTGCAAAATGAAGCTCTCACACAAACCCAAGAACACTAGGATAACAAATACAATGAATTGAATAGAGTTCAATGAAAGAAAGACAATTGAATACAAATTTCGCTCTATTTGCTCTTTGATTGTTGAAATTGCTTTCTTGTCTCTTCTTGACTATCTAAAGACCCCTTTCATGTGCTCTCATTAATTGTTAGTCATTTGAGGTTGTTGGAGGGAGTTTGGAGCCGTTTGAAGTATTAAATCCACACATTAAAGGCTACATGCACATAAACTTTCGTAACTCTTCGAAAGAAAAATAAAAATTTTGACATTGGAACCTAAAGTTTCGAAACTCCAAAGTCTACTGTTTTTGCAAGTTTTGAATCTCTTATAGAATTTTCGAAACTCTTATAGAATTTTCGAAACTCTTGCTCAAAGCTTGTTTAAAATAATGATTTTTGACATTTTGAAAAAAATATATAACTTTAAAAATTGTTCTAAAGTGTTTGAATGACCTTTTTGACATAATTTAAACTAATCTTAAAGACTATAGTCCCACGGAGGGCATTTCCTAATTCGGAGGTCTCTTACGGAAGCTGCTCTCAACCTGGTGTTGGGGGTAGCCTACTATCTTATCTCCCCCTTACCCCATACATATGGGAAAAAGGGACAGCCATTTTTTAAAGACTAATTTTACAAAAAATTAATATATATATATATATATATATATATATTATGTTATATGAAAATCATTTAAGTTTATCAAAGTCGATTCTCTCTTATCTTTCGATACATGATCTTTCGGATTTAAGATTATTTTGATATTATTTTACCATTTTATGGATCTTTATCTTGAATTTGAATAACCTCTTGTGACTCATCTCTTTATTTTGTGGGAATTCAAACCGGTCAGGTTGATAGGGGAGAGAAGTCTTTATATATAACGGCGAAGCATGATAAAAGAGTAGCAGCTAAGTTATTTTTGGGGTTAATTACATAGATGATCACTTATGTTTATACTTTATCCACTTTTGGTCACTGATTTTAAAAAATACATAAGATATAGTCACTTTCGTTTTTATTTAATTAAGATATGATCACTTTTAATTTTTATTTAATTAAGATGTGATCATCACGAGTTAACTGTTGTAAACAATTAACTGAATACGTGACGTGATAGTTGGTATTATCACACATTTGGTCCTTATTATTTATATATTCTCTCAATTTAGTAATACTTTTAAATAAATTTTAACATAAACTATATATTTTTAAATGAAAATAAAAATAAAATATTTTTAAATTAAGTTAATAATAAAATATATTTAATAAAGTTAACAAAAAATATTTTTTAAGTTAATATATATAAAATATTATGAATGTAAATATTTATACACTAAGATACAAAATATATACACCATGTTTACTTTAGACAAAACAATGGTCTTGGCTTAATGGTTGGATACATGTTTAGTTTCCTAAGTGACCTAGGTTTGAATCTTTTTTGCCCCAATTTGCTTTTCTTTGTTTTCTTTCAACAAGAGGGTGACACATGCCACTCTTTGTTTGGTGGAAATAAATATATTAAATTAAAATAAAGTTAGTCCTCCAATCGAATTGTGACACATGGCATGACATGTGGCATCTTTCAATTGGAGGATTAAATTTATTTTAATTTATTAAAAGTATGGGTAAATTGAGAGAATATGTAAATAATATGAACCAAATGTGTGATTATATTAAAATATTTACCTGTTGTTAACGATAGTTTACTCAGAATGACCACATCTTAATTAAATAAAAACAAAATTTACCATATCTTATATATTTTTTAAATCAGTGACCAAAAGGGGACAAAACACAAATATAAGATCATCTATGTAGTTAACCCTTATTTTTTTTTAAAGAAGAATGATATTTTTTTTGTTTTATTGAAAAATTAAAAAGGAAAAGAAAGGAGAAAACGAACTGTCATTATTGACAAGAAAAATAGAAGGAAAGTCTGAAAATTGTTAAGGACTACTTTGATATTGTACTTAAAAGTGTGATTGAAAAACACTTTTGAAAAGTATTTTTCTTAAGTAAGTCTAAAATAAAATGTTTAATCTTACTGTCAAAAATTAATTTTGAATTAATAAAATAATAATTATAAACATAATGGTGTATAATAAAAAATAAGTTAATTTAAATGATATCTAAATCTATTAATTCTATGATATATTAAATGTATTACTTTTTAGATTAATTCAATACACTAACTTAAATTATATAGTAAAATATATAAAATTGTTTTTATCATATATATATATTAGTTTTACACATTTAAGACCGTTAGATGAACAAAAATAAACGACTGAGATTAATAGTAAGAAAAGAGAAAATATTCACTAAAGAAATAAATATCTAACATCAACATTTATTTTCAGCCATTGCACGATCTTAAATCTGTATAAAACTAAAATAATTTTACATTAAGTAGATCCTAACTCATGACATATAAATTTTAAATATTTTTAAGTAATTAATATAATTGTTATGAAAATCTTAGAAATGATATTTATAATCATAAACACCAAAAGTATATAGTATTCAAATAATATTTGATTTAATAAATAAATATATAAATGATTTTAAATAGTTTAAACATTAGATAAAAAATACTTTCAAAAAATTAAATAATAAATATGAACATACTCGAAGAATATCATAAAGAAAATATAAATTTATTGATATAAACTTTACAAAAACACACATATAAAACGCACATATCAAATAGAATAAAAATACTCTAGAAATAAAATCCATTCAATCATGACGGTAAAAAGAGAATATTATTCTCTCTAAATGTCCTGGATTCCTATAACTGATTTGTAGGATGTGTATTGTCAATTGATTAAGAAAAATCTGAATACTTTATAATAATCCTACTGTTAAAAAAAATACTCAAACACATAAAACTCACACATATTAAGGTAATTGTCTACCTTCCCAAAATTGAACCAAACATTGGAATCTAATCATGCTCAGAATTTCCAGCCAAACATAACACTCAAATTCCTCTTTTAAAATCTAACAATTTTGTTTTTCCAATTTTATTTTAATTTTTTGAAAATCTCCCAACAGAAATTCATCTTTAAAACCAACATTTTATCAGATGCTAACAATATAAAACTTGGTTCAAAACATCCCAATGATAAGAGATATAAGCTTAAATCACATAGTCAGGGACCCAGTTACACTAACCAAGCACCATTTCACTGAGAACGTCTGTAATATCAATAGCCACTCCCTGCCGTTCCCTCGTACCTCTCTCTTCTCTTCTCCTCTCTCATTTTATCAACAATGTTCAATATTTCTGGATTCGAGAAACGTTCACGGACAAGCTTTCTCTCTTGAGCTTGTCTCTCCTTGATCGCACTAGGGTATGGGTTTGGTGGAGGCTTCTTCCCTTGAAGATGGGCGATTTGTTTTAAACGAGAATACGCTGCCTTCTTCTCTTTCTTCTCCTTTCGATATTCCATCTAAAAGAGGATATTGATAGTTAAAAGAATGTGCATAGAACTTTAGAAGCATTTTTGGGGTCGACAACCCCCACCATTTTTATCACCATCTATGAACTATGAGTTCATGGCATATGAATAATGATGATGATCTCATGAGTATAAAACAGGTCAAAAAGCAAAGGAGAGAGAGAGAGAGACCCCTTTTTCTACTCAACAATCAAAAGCTTCTGATGGCAATTTATAGAAGAAAAACTGAAAACATGAGGTCAAGAATGCAAGAAACGTACATCAGCTACGGTCATTGCTTCCGCCTCAGAAACTCCCTGCTCTTTCAATTCAAGCACTCGCAAACCAAATAGACGTGCCGGGGGAGGATCATAAGCAGCTATTCTGTGTGGAAGCAAGGCGTAAACTTAATCCACTTACCAAAAATGTCTAATATGAAACCATACCAAGAAATTATTCAATCCAAGATAAAGAGAGTGACAAACTGTTAAACAATCCAAAACATAGAGATCATGTTATTTTCAAAACTGCAAGAAAGATAAGTTCATGGTAATCGATCATGCATAGGTTAATATCAGATACATATAAAAGTTATAGTGAGATATCAATCAAACTCCCATAATGCAAAATAATTCCTCCAGAAATCCATATTAAGACACACAAGTTTCGTTAAAATGAAATTAAAAGGAATATTTTACTACTTGTTACTCACACTCGGGTGATAATGTATGTTAATATTTTTTTTAGCCTTTCCATGTATTTGAAATGTCCTCAGAAGGTCATATCCCCATATACATGTTCAAATAGGGGTCAGACACGGGTGCTTTATGAAAAATAAGACAGAGTAACATGCCTTATACTCCTTTATTTGAGAAAAAGAAACTAAAAGAACCATCTAAATTACAATCATTTTCAAAATTCAATAACCAATCAAGTAGACATGTCCGAATACCTGCAAACAAAAAACCCTTAAAACCGAAATGCAAATTCAGAAGATTAAAAAAATTAAGCATGTGTGCATCATTGACCTTACTCAACTATTTGCAAAATATCCCAAATATTTGATATTTGCATCATATGCCATTAGCATCTAGAACACCAAACTCATAACACTTGCTTTATTTTCTTTGGTCGAAAGATTAACGAAATACCAATTTTTTTATTACTGATACAATGATAATCCAAACTAAACCAACTCTAAGAGTGGATGTATATAAATCTAATGTTCTTCGTAGCATGATACACAAGAAACAGATTAACAAAAGGAACAGCAAAGGGGGAAGAATTATACTTGATGGCATCATGACCTTTCGAGGCTGGATATTTCTGGAAGAATTTTTTGATGTAAACATCCTCTGGAAGACTGATAGTCTTAAGTTTTCCATCAGGACGAGGAAAAGTTGCCGGCGGGGCACTGACAAAACACAAAACCAAGTATCATTAATAGATTAAATCAAATAAAATCTATAGAAACAGCTTAAACCCAAAACTAAGGAAATGAAAACCGGACCTTCAACAATACAATGGATAACAAACAAGCTCCTTAACAAAATTCAGCCTATTAATCATATTTCGCCCGCTACAACATTATAATCAGAGCTTTATTGTCAACAATAGTTCAGATTCAAACATATGAAACAACAAATCGTGCCTTTTCTTTTCTTCTCTTTTCATATTTCAGATAAGCAACTGGCACATTATCGTAGGGTAAAAACCCTATAAAATGAAGGGGAGTCGCCATTCTTAAGCGACGTTAATCAAGCATTTTGAGCCATTAAAATAACTCGATATTCACACAAATCAAAAGTTAACTCAATTGAACAATTTAATGAAAACCCAGGTTTTCAAATTCTAAAACAAATACACTTTAGCGATCCATTTGGACTTCAATTGCAAGAAATTAATAAAACAAACAAAATAAACTTAATCCAGTTTAAAAAAATGCGGGGAATGAAAGAGACAAACTGTTCCATGGCTTTGAGCCAAACAGGCTGAGGTTTGGCTAAACCTTTGACGAGTTTCCTTGTTTTCGTTAACAAATCTCCTTTCATGAACGACATGTCTGCGCTTTTTTGGTTTGCTGAGGCTGGTGTGTGACTAGGGCAAAATAAAAGAACTGGTGATGAAGATCAAGAAAAACTGAAGAAACCACGGCCGATGATGATGAAGAAGAAATCTGAAGATATTGGGCTATACTTATTTTGGCCCAACTTATTTGGGTAATAAATGAGTATCATATATAATATAATTTTTTACAAAAAAGTACGAATAATTTGTATAAGAACATATTCAATCTACTTTTATGGTAATTTTTAGGGGGAAAGGCACTTGAGAACCCTGAACTTTCAAGAGAGAGAAATCAATATGGCCCTTATTCTATTTTTTGGGTTAATGTGACCCTCAAACTCAAAAAAAGAATTCAATATCGATCTTTGACCAACGTTTTTCGTTACTGACCAATGGTTCTATTAATTGAAACTATTATAAATTAGGTAAATTACACCATTCATCACTCAATTATTTTATTCTCTTCTATTTTGGTCACTAAACTCTAAAAATTTTTAATTTTGGAAATACTAGATATTTCATGGACTAAACACCCCATTTCCTTCTAACTTCTTCCCTCTCCTTCTCGCCGCCACAGCGAGCCAAGTTTAACAGAGCCCTCCAACTCGAAATTTCACTTCGCTTGTAAAATTTAAAACGTATCAATTTTAGTAAGAGAACGAAGTATTAAAATCAAATGGCCAATTAAGTATACAAAATTGTAGGTAGTGATCAGGTTGAAATGATTCATGTTCTCCATGTTGGAAACTTTGGACAAAGTGGGAACCTTGCACAACAGAAAAGGTCATTGTTTGTTTTATGAGTTAATTTTAGATGTTCTCTCTACTTCCTTTGAGACATTTTTTAGATTGCCATTGCTACTATTGGATCTGGATCTCTCACACACTTTGCATCTCTCAACTCATCCACTATTCTCATTTCCCTGCATTTTCAACCAATTCATTCCCGGATTCAAGGTACTCTCCATCACTTCATTGCTGTGGGTTCTTTCTTTTTCATCACTTGTATTCATCCCCTTGAGTTCATAATACTTGTTTGATCTTTGTTAGTCCATTCGTTCATTCCTTTTTGCATTTGTTGTTCAATCCCATTTCATTTTTCAATCACATATGTAACCCTCGATTTATTCTCTTTTCCCATTACGATTAGCTTCTTAGATTGGTGAAGATGACTATCAAATCTCTGCTTTGTTAAAATTATTTGTGTGTGTATCTGTGTAGCGGTGGCGGCTATGTTGAACTTGGCTCACTGCGGCGGCGAGAAGTTGAGGGAAGTTAGAGAAATGGGGTAAAATGGGTTAACTATAGCCTTAGTCCCTGAAGTCTCTAGTATTTTTGAAATTGAAAAATTTTGGAGTTTAGAAACCAAAATAGAAGAAAATAAAATAATTGACTGATGAATGGTGTAATTTAACCAATTTATAACAACTTGAATTAACAGAACCGTTGGTCAAATGGTCACATTGATTTCTTTTTCGAGTTGGTGGGTCGCATTGATCTAAAAAATAGGATGAGTGCCACATTGGTTTTTTTCTTTAGAAAGTTCAGGGACTTCGGGTGCCTTTTTGTCTATTTTTAATAAGTAAAAGAGATAAAGCATTATTGTAAGAGGTGTTCATTTTCAAATATCAGATATTATTTTATCCGAACTTTTGGATATCCGAAAAATGTGATCTCTAATATTGTGATCAAAATCCAATCTAAAAAAACCAAATATTCTATCTTTCAGATATTTGAATTTTTAGTTTGATATTCGAATCTGAATATAATGTTAGACATGATTTCAAATGTTAGACAAGCTTTCACACATTTAGCATAAACGCAAAGAAAAAGAGATCGTTTTAAATACCTCCAGCCAATGCCCATGCCCTATGTCAAAATCCAGTAATTGAAAGTACCACTGTCAAATATATCAGACCACCGTGAACCACCACGAGTCATCGTCGAGCACTTTGAACTTGGCTGAACAAAAGCTAGAACCGCCAATGATCTTTTAAGAACTCAAAACCTCATTTAGATGGAATATTTCTTGTAATATCCCAAATATCAAGTTAGGGACTATGTTGAAAAGATTGGAAAATTGAAGATTTAATTGAATAAATGGTAAAAGATGAGAAAATGGTTTGGAATAGTATGTTAAACTAAATTGTATTAATAGATGAATTAAGAGGGCATTTTGGTCCTTTTAAGGGTAAATGAATTTAAAAAATTCATTTGTAATAAGATATTAAAGAAAAAAGGGGAAAGGGGAAAAAATATCAAAAGCCATCTCTCTCTTTTCTTCTTCCCCGTGGAAAAGCCCTCCATATAACAAAGGTGAGATTTCAATTTGATGGTTTATCCTTGTATTTTTTTGTTAGTTATTGAATCCTTGAGCATAATAGAAGCTTAAGAAAGGATTAGATGATATTAAAACTATGAGCAAAGGGAAATAATAGAGATTATAGAAAATGAGTTTTAAAATGATATGTTAAGATATGAGTGTTTATTGATGTTTGGTAGTAGTTTTGACTTGTCAAAGAGGTAAATGAGAGATTAGAAGCAATGGATGAGTTTAAAAACATGTTAGAAAATGTGGTGTGATTCTTAGAATCAAATGATATTGAAGGATGCTAGATGTTCTAAGTAACTAAATGAGGAAAAGTTAGTATGTATAAGTAATGAAGAATTTAGTAGCATTATGGGAGGTAATCCTAACGAAAAGTGACTTCATTTGTGTAATAATTAGGGTAAAAACTGGAAAATCTGGGCAAGGGTATCAGTGCTGATAGAACATTACTGATACTATAGGCTAAAATGGGATGAATTAGCTGAGTAGTATCGATACTGATTCAAACAGTATCGATACCAACGAGGTAGTATCGATACCATGGTAAGGGTATTGATACCAGGAAACATCGAATCTAAAATTGGTATCGATACCAGAAGGGGTATCGGTACCATAGTATGGTATTATCGATACCATGGTAAGGAAATCGATACCAGGCAACATCGAACCTAAAATGGGTATTGATACCAAAAGGGGGTATCGATACCATAGTATAAAAGTATCAGTACCATGGTAGTAGAATCGATACTATTGAGCTTGTAAGGGCCAATTAGGTTGAAATTGTTATAGAAATTGAGATAATGATATTTTGAATTTTCTTAAAGTATAATTGTTAGGAAATATACTAACATTTGATATGGTACATGTTTTAATAGATGCTTGAGTAGATTGGAACCCAAGCTCCTGAGATAAAAATATTAAGGTTAAAGGTGAAGTACCAGAATAATCTGCCTTACATTTTGGATACTTAGCGAGGAAAGTCAGGTGATTGCATTTAAATATGTACGTATATGCTATGACAGTCATAGTGGTATGAATTATTGATGTATGTATGGTGATTACCAAATGGTACTAAGTGTGCTAAAATGCTAAGAAATTCATACTAAGTGTATGAATTTCCGTATAGGGCACTTCGTGTGCTAAAATGTTAAGAAACTCATACTAAGTGTATGAATTTCCGTATAGGGCACTTCGTGTGCTAAAATGTTAAGAAATTCATACTAAGTGTATGAATTTTTGTATAGGGCACTTCGTGTGCTAAAATGTTAAGAAATTTATACTAAGTGTTGGATTTCTGTATAGGGCACTTCGTGTGCTAAAATGTTTAGAAATTCATACTAAATGTATGAATTTCTGTATAGGGCACTTCGTGTGCTAAAATGTTAAGAAATTCATACTAAGTGTATGAATTTTCATATAGGGCACTTCCTGTGCTAAAATGTTATGAAATTTTATACTAAGTGTATGAATTTCCGTATAGGGCACTTCATGTGCTAAAATGTTAAGAAATTCATACTAAGTGCATGAATTTTTGTATAGGGCACTTCGTGTGCTAAAAATTTAAGAAATTCTTACTAAGTGTATGGATTTCTGTATAGGGAACTTCGTGTGCTAAAATGTTAAGAAATTCATACTAAGTGTATGGATTTCCGTATAGGGCACTTCGTGTGCTAAAATGTTAAGAAATTCATACTAAGTGTATGAATTTCCGTATAGGGCACTTTATGTGCTAAAATGTTAAGAAATTCATACTAAGTGTATGAATTTTCGTATAGGGCTCTTCAAGTGCTAAAATGTTAAGAAATTCATACTAAGTGTATGAATTTATGTATAGGGCACTTCGTGTGCTAAAATGTTAAGAAATTCATACTAAGTGTATGAATTTCCGTATTGGGCACTTCATGTTCTAAAATGTTAAGAAATTCATACAAAGTGTATAAATCTTCGTATAGGGCACTTCGTGTGCTAAAATGTAAAGAAATTCATACTAAGTGTATAAATTTCCGTATAGGGCACTTCGTGTGCTAAAATGTTAAGAAATTCATACTAAGTGTAAGAATATCCGTATATGGCACTTCGTGTGCTAAAATGTTAAGAAATTCATACTAAGTGTATGAATTTCTGTATAGGGCACTCCGTGTGCTAAAATGTTAAGAAATTCATACTAAGTGTATAAATTTCCGTATAGGACACTTCGTGTGCTAAAATGTTAAAAAATTCATAGTAAGTGTATGAATTTCCATATAGGGCACTTGATGAGCAAAAATGTTAAGAAATTCATACTAAGTGTTTGAATTTCCGTATAGGGTACTTCGTATGTTAAAATATTAAGAAATTCATACTAAGTGTATGAATTTCCGTATAGGGCATTTCGTGTGCTAAAATGTTAAGAAATTCATACTAAGTGTATGAATTTTCGTATAAGGCACTTTGTGTGCTAAAATGTTAGGAAATTCATGCTAAGTGTATGAATTTTCGTATTGGGCACCTTGTGTGCTAAAATGATAAGAGATTCATACTAAATGTATGAATTTCCATATATGAAATGTGAGTATAAACATAAGAACTACATAATAAGGAAATATATCTTTATATTGGTAATGGGTATGCTAAGTACATAGATTATAGCATTGGTTGATAAATGACGGTATAGGCACTACGTGTGCATCTTAATAAATGAACAGGAATAAGAAGTTGGTAAATTACCATGTGTGCACTAAGGGTGCAAATGTATAAGGGTTA